AATATTTGGACTTTGTTATCCAATAAGATCTTACTGAAGTTTTCTGCTTTGTTTAAAAGTTGATGTTTTTAAAATATGTAATATATGCACATAGCATAAATTTTAAGAAGTTACCAATGGTAAATCAGCCTCCTTTACCTCTCTGTTCCCTTGTAACCCAGCCCCTCCCTGTCATTGCAGACTTTTAAGAAATCACATCACTAGAGTCATGACTTGGAGAATTAAATGACAGGAATATTTAGGATGAACTATGACCTCAATCAGTTTATTAACAGTGTAAATGAGAAGGAAATGATGGCTGCAAAATTTTACAGATAAAAGCAACAGGACTTGGCATTTAGAATGGGGCCTAGAATCTAAAAGGCACTTTGAATTACTTACCAAACAGATCTTGAATGATATGTGTAAAAAAAATGATCAAAATAAAGATTTGGAGGCAGAATGTTTAGGAGCTGAAAAGTGCCATTAACAATGTTGAAACAAAAATTTAAAGTTCAAATATGGAGAGAAGAAGATATATATAGTTTTGGATGTATTAAACTGGAAATGATCATAGGCCATGCAAGTAGAAACATCAGGTGGTTGAAAGCATAATTTTAGTGAAAGAAGTTGGGGATATAGGATATTATTTTTAGAAATCTTTCCCCAAAAGAATTGGGGATGATGACATAATTAAGGAAGAAAATGTTGGAGAAGTCCAATGGCAGAAAGTTACTGAACTATTTATATTAAGGAAGCAAAGAAGATGAAGAAAGTCAGAGTCAAGTGTCATGGAAACTCAACGGACTAGATTAAGCAGGTAGGAATAATTGATTGGCACTGTCAGATAAAGAAAAGAGGTTCAAAAGGAACAAGTGTAATGGGGAAAAAATGGGAGATTTTGTAATCAGAAGTGGGGAGAAGCAGGGAGAGAGCAAAAACCAGAGGGGAAATAAGAAGTGAGTAGGTGGTGAAGAAGCAATACAGTTAACTTTCTACTCTTGAGATGTCTCTTATTCTGTTCTAAGAGATGGAACAATAAGAACATGGATAAAAATGGAAGGTGGGTATAGCTTGCAATTCTATAGTTTACTTTTGGGAGAAGTGTTGTTAAGAGTTTTCAAAGACAAGTAAGTTCTAAATAACTTTCCAAGAAGAGTAGGTACCAAGAGGAATAATGAGATTAAGGGTAAAAGACAACTAGTGACTGAGCTGTTGACAAATCTGATATGGGAAAGGAATGGAACCTGGTCTCTTACAATGGTATCAGGAACTGAAAAGAGATGCTCCTCCCAGAAAGGAAGGGATAATTTATCATATTTTGAAGTAAAGAGGGAGTAAGGTATGACTAACAGCCTATGTTTTCTTAGAAAAGTAGGTGTTTGAATTGTTCCCCCTCAACAAAGAATGTTAACAAGGTGAGGAACCCCAAAATCTAGGCACTGGATCAATACTAAAATGCTTTTTTTTTTTTTTTAAAAGATTTATTTATTTGTGCATATAGAACTGGGGTACAGGTCAGAGGCTCAGGGGGGATGAAAGGCTTCACCAGAGACAGAGTGGGGAGTAGAACAGGCAGATCGACGAAGTACACTGCTGAGGGGAGCAGCAGGCGGGCCAGGAGAGGTCTGCCACATCATGTGGTCACTTCCAGGGCAGGCGGGAATCGAACTCATGAGGAAATGGTTTCAGCTTCTTAGTGCTGTGCTTTAACGCGCTGCGCCACCAGGGAGGGCCTTAAAATGCTTTTTAATCAAGCATTTGCCCTATGGCAGATACTTCGTTAAAACTTTATAAGAGCACTAAAAGTATGGTTATTGTTCCTTTTTCTTTCTAGTCTATATTTTATATTCCATTTTATTTTTCCATTAACAACTTATGCCTTCCTAAAGAGAATATGAAAGTTGCATGGAGCTAATAAAACTACATTCAAATTCATGTCAGATATCATGGTTAGGAATCTCTGTTACAGATCATAGCAAGGGAACTACCAGGGCATGATCTGAAGGGCATACAAGTAATGTGTCAATTACACCAATTATTATATTTGCTTCATTCCTCCAAAGGTAGTATTCTTGGACATCGTTAAATAAATTATATATTTCAATATCAATATTATGATTCTCAGAGAAGGATAAAGAACAGTTTCTGCTTCTTGACCTTTCCAAGTAACAATAAATATCTATCAAGTGTAATAGTGGTGACATAGGAAATAAAAATATTGTACATTGTAAAAAAAATATTTTGACATTATTCTTTTGGCCTGATATGGATTCCTATTCTGTAATAATAATTGTGTTTATAATTCCCCTAGAAGTGATCTATGAAAATAAGATTGAACAAAGCTTCCATTTAGACTATGTCCTAACATAAAGACATGTTGGCACTAAGGTGGCTGATCATACAAAATGAGGATACTCTATGCTTCTTTTTTTTATCTTTCATATTAATTTTAGAGTAATTGTATTCTTACAATTTAAAGTAATTGTATTTTCATGGTAGATATAAACTGAAAAATCAGTTACTGCCATTTCCAATCAGTGCTTGAATTATTTGCAAAGGATGATCCTGAGAGGCAAGTGATTTGTCTCACTCAAGCATCTTTTGGAATCCTTTACTGTGGGTAGGCAGCATGGCTTCAAAATGTGTTCACATCCTAATTTCCATAATCTGTGAATATATTTGACCACATGGCAAAGAGACATTAAGACTGCAAATAGAATTAAGGTTCCTAATCACCTGACTTTGAGACTGGAGATTATCCTGCATAAGGTGCAACATAATCACAGGGGTTCTTTTTTTGAGAGGATTCACCAGAGACAGAGTGGGGCAGAACAGGAAGACCATTAAGTACACTGGGAACGGGAGCAGTGGGTCCGTCAGGAGAGTTCTGCATCTCCTGTGGATCACTGCAACTAGCTTGCAGTGCTGCTTCCTAACCCTGTACACCACCAGGGAGGGCCCCAATCACAGGGATTCCTATAGGAGGAAAAAAGAGAGCCCACAGGAAAAAAGACTCAACCAACTCTTTCTGAGTCTGAAGATGGAGGAAAACGGTCATGAGATTAAAGATTGTTGTGTGGCCTTTACAAGCTGAAAAAGAGGGAATCCTGAACTCTTTCCTGGAGCCAATCTCTTCAATTTAGCCCAATGAAATACATGTCAGACTTTCGAGCTCTGTAACTGTAAAATAATAAATTTGTGTTGTTTAAGCTACTAAGTTTGTGGTAATTTGTCAGAGCAGTAAAGGAAGCAACTGTAAACATTCTGCTCTCTCTTGTCCGTTCCTACCTTGGCCACTCTGTCTTCTCCAGAAGAGCAAGTATTCTTCCCTGCTCTCAAAGACTGGATATGACAATTACATTTTAAATACGTTGACACAATCATACTTGCATTTTATACTCTTTGCTTAATAAATTCTAAATGTGCAAGGTGTACATATTCCATCAAAGAAATCCAGGAATAGGTGAAGAACAATGTTTAGAGAGGAATGATCATAAAATGATCATAAAATGATCACTTGTAGCTAAGTATATATTGCTCCAGCTCAAGCTAAAACTTGGCCACAATGAATGACTTGTGTTCTCTTTTTATCTCACGACCTCTTTTTCTGAGCTAGTATGTAATATATTTTTTATAAGTTGATGGTACTAGGTATCACCTATTACAAAGGAGGGAAGAATTTTACAATTCTGCCCTGTCTCAAAAGCGGGAGTGAACTTACCAGGTTTGCATTCTGCCTTACACACAACTGGAAGTAGTTTAGGTTGACCAAAACTTAGCACTGGAGAAGTCAGGTTTTTCTCCAACTCACCAGGATTCCAATATTTCATAAACTTTTCCTTTCTACCTGCACTACACTGATGTTTTTATTTTTTCAGAACAACTATTCAAGTCATGTCCCTGACTGTAGTTTCCAAGGTAGGCACATTCCTCAGTATAAGGTTGGCTTTTAGATAATTATATATTTTTCTGAATGTAAAGAGGCTGATTGTTTAGGCTAAATGTCTACCTCTCTGAGGTCTCCCGACTTACTGTTTTTGTTCTTACTAAGTACAAAAGCTTCCTAGATTACAATAGGTGACTGCTTTATAGGCAATAACTTTTCTCTTTCTGGAGAGCCCAGGGTTCCACTCTGGGCTCGGATGAAAACTAAACTCTCTGCTTTATGGGCAGGGGCATTTGATCGTTCCAATGTCTTCCTCTCCTTCGCTTTCCCAAATGAGGACTGTTTTTCTGTGACACCAAAGCCTAGATAAGGTCACGTGGAGGCGGTAGCAAGGTGGGGACGAGGGCGGCCAGTCGGGGTTCCCGGGTTAGCATCCAGCGCGGCATCTACAGGATAAAGACGTTCGTCAGGCAGGCCGAGGTTACCGCAAGGCCAGGGGGGCTGAACGGGTTGCTTTCCCGCAGATCCACAGGATGCGCCTCCTCCCGGGAGCACCCCACAACGCTCGCCGACCTCTACGAGAGGCTGGGGCTGCCCTAATAGTATCCTAAAGAGATCTCGAGACAAAGCGACCACAGAATCAGCCGTTACCTCTCTTTGCCACTAATAGGCTTGCAGGCGCACGCGCACAAACCCGGGCTACTTCCGGTTTCCTAGACCGCGCCCTAGATTCTTCCTTCCGTATTTTCAGCCCAGTGCCTCCTCCCACCCCCGCCCCTTGTGTCCGGTCCTCCTCCGTATCCTGAAGTCCCGCCTCCTCCCCTCCGCTCCCCCCCACCAG